AAACGATAAGAGGGTATTTGTTGAGCAAATACCTGACGCCACAAAAACGATAATTTAGTTTGATCATACACCTACATCAGATAGGATTAATTGCAGATTGTGAGATGTTAAGTTGTAGTCTTTCTCGGAATTCTGTTTAATTAAGCACTGATGATGACATTTAAACAAAATCACAATACGTTTATAGCAATTAACTCTCAAGAGGCATCATATAGAAGCATATAATCCTGAGACAAATATAAATTTATTCTTTTTTCAAGATTCAGGATACTTTTCTGTTTTTTATTATATCCCCAAAATGCGAACGTCGAATTTCAAGTAGAAGATTTCACCTCAATCCGAAGACATATTGCAGCCGCATCTGCGCCAAACAGAATTATGTAGAAGAAGCAAATGAACGCATCAAGAATGGCCAGTACAATCGGATAAAGAACTGGTTGCGAGCGTGATGAGCGATATGCTCTTTTGAATGCAACGATCAGGATCAAATTGAAGAAACAACCGCATATGGCCACAACAGAACCGATCATTATATATGTGAATCTTATCAGTCCACATTCCTCAGATTGTCCGCACAATCCATTATCGCCCAATATACTTTCTATTTCACTTGAATTCTCGTCTGCCTCCTCCATACCTACACAATTTTATCATGTAATATTATCTGGATTACCTGGATTGGCCAGGCCGTCATCAAACGTTNGTAATTAAGCAGGTACCGTGAACACTTTACATAATTAAACGTAGCCAAATACGAATCCAATAAATCAGTCATAACTCTAATAAAATAAATATTCCGCCGATCGCTCACAACGATTGACAAAACAACCACTCGATGTCCAAGTAATAAATAAAGCATGTTATGTGCAATAAAGAAATGGATGCCCCTCATAACTGTACGATATGGTTCAACCCTCACAACTAAACGATATGGTTCAATTGAATTTCTTTTTCCGAGCATTAAACCAAAATGGAAACGTTGGAAGAGTCGAACATATGAAATAATCATTTGATGATCAAATACATCAAATATGCATCATATATATGTAAAAAAGTTGTGAAACGTTAAATTTTTTCAAAACGCGATTGTGTTTTCATAACGTTGTTTTCATAACGCGGTTGTGAAAATTGCAGTGTGAAAAGAAGCGAAAAACCTAAATTGTTGGAGTATCGCTTGTAAGGATGAGAAAAAATTTGCGATTCGCGACAGAAAATCAACATTATGAATGCACAAGATATTAAATATTCAAGGATGTACGAATGAGACAGTGCGTTTTCTTCTTCGAACGCAGATTTTGATTAGAGAAATTGATTTTGATCATACGTATTTGATTAGAGGAAAATCATTCGATTGCAATATCGAACACGAGAAACCTTACCAAATCGTGTTCCTCAATCGACAAGCGTTGATTCTTCAACTAAAAAAAGTAAACTGGAAAGGCTTCTACACAGCCGAAATCCAACGGCAACTACAGCTTCACGCTTCCAAATACCTTTTTCGAATGTACTTAACTGTGAATCTTATTAATAAACTTTTAAGTAACACACCGGCAAAATTTGAAGCCATCGAAAGCTTTTCGAACTTTTACCATCACGACACCCACCTCCCCAGAAACTGGGTGTCGTAATGGTAAAAATACTGATCTATTTCATTATGGCATAGATCA